GGGGGGGGGGGGGGGGGGAGCGTGCTATTGTTTACTTGTTTGAGATTCGTAAAAGTCTGAATCGGTGTTCCTATGCCTGCAGGTGCTCGCTGAAAGCGCTGTGAAACAAATCGTTCACTAAAATTAAAATGTGTAGACTACACGCATCGTTCACTCTGAAAAAAATATAAGAGTAAATAACAACGATATGATTATTTCAAGCCAAGCTACACTTGCGAATAGGGTGAGGAACTCGGAGGCTAGGAAGCTAGGATGTATAATCGCGTGTGATGGCTTCGAAAGAGGCCGCAAGATAAACATATGCCTACTCAGGGTTTGAGCCGTTCGTAGCAACTTGGAGACCGCGCGCTGTCAGCACCGTGCTGACTGCGTCCGGTCTGGCGCCACAGCAATCGAGCACGCTGCCTTCAACATCCACGTGTTCCAGAAGAGCTCGTACCCGAAATCGCACGATTGACATGAACGCATGCGCGCATCATAATAGTGTCCATGTGCGGGCAGCAGCAGAGAAATACCGATTTTCTATCCTGGCATTCCACGCTAGGGTGAGGGTGGGGGAGGGGGGGCAGTTGGACTTGCTTCCTCTGGCATGCGCCATGCCTCGGCTACTACAGCGGTGATACCGGCAGCGGTTATTACTTCGGAGTTCCGGACATCGGCCAAAGAAAGGAAATAGAGAAAGAGAGATGAGAACCCTGACCCTGACCATGAGCCACTTTGCGGGGAGGCAGCAGAGCAGAATTGACGATTGAAATGACCACAAACTACCTGAAGAGCGGGGGGGAAAGGGGGTTGGTCTGGGCGCCTCGGTTTTCAAAGTAAAAAGGTCGTAGTTTTGTGGTTTTTCACGCCATACTAAAAAAAAAAAGGATGCCAAAGATTATACGCAAACGGTGATTTACCCTGTAGGATGCGATCTGGGTTGGACCGATGTTTTGATTCAAGTTCACTAGATAGTTGGGGGAAAGTCAGGAAACCGCTGGCAGAGTGCACTATACCGCACTTGAGGAAAGCTCGACATGCTTCCTGCAGGGGACTTCTTCTGTCAAGCACTTCACCAAATCGTACCTGAAAGCCCGTGGAAGGGTATCGGCCCATCGGCGACGGCTGCCCAAAAACCATATTGTCCCTAGACCCGTTTTCTTCTTTCTCGCGGCGCTTTTTGAGCGCTCTGTACATCCCACCGACGCAGTCGGGCCGGCAACAGATATGCACTCTCTCACCTAGGGAGAGTCTCCTTGAAGGTCGCGCTTGTGAGGCCGCTCTTCCCCTACTGTTGCACACCACTCGCTCAGCTCCGCCCAGTATGCTCCCCGTCCAACAGGCTTCCACTTGCTCGAGCACCCGTCGCGGCTGCCAGGACGTGCACAGGCGGAGTATGTTTGTGTATGTATGTACTCGGCATGATACAGATCTCCGAGATATCCGAGGGGGTACGCATATATGATAGGTTTGGGTATATGCAGACGTGTGTGCAGCAGCAGGTCCTTCTTGCCTGCTGCTCATGCTTGTCACTCGTTAATACCTCGTTATTAGTTAATCAAGGAACTTGAGTCACTCCTTTGTGCAACACGCTCTCGACAAGAGCCCGCGAGCGTGATAACATAGTACACGCGCCGACACCCCAAACACGATATCGTGTTAGGGGTGTCGGTAGTCAGCTGACGTCGGTAGGGAAAAGTTTGGGAGGTAGGCACCGGAACATAAGGGCAGCAGCAGCGGGCGGTTTTTGCTCGCGCGCGCCAAGGAGATCCAGGGAACAGGGTTTGGAATACGAGGGCAGCAGCAGCAGGGCGGTTTTTGCCCGCGCGTGCCAAGGAGATCCAGGGTAAGCTTTTGGAATACAAGGACAGCAGCAGCGGGCGGTTTTTGCCCGCGCGCGCCAAGGAGATCCAGGGAACAAGGTTTGGAATACGAGGGCAGCAGCAGCAGGGCGGTTTTTGCCCGCGCGTGCCAAGGAGATCCAGGGTAAGAGTTTGGAATACAAGGGCAGCCGCGACAGGTGCGCCAAGGAGATCCAGGGACAGCATTTGGAATACAAGGGCAGCAGCGGTAAGCGTGCCAAGGAGATCCAGTTACGTGAACAAGAATAAGTCTAGCAGTAGGAGATACATCGTGCCGCATTTTTTTTTTTTGCGGCGTAATTAGGCGGAGGAAGAACATGTGGGAGAAGTACTGGACGGAGATGGAATATAGGCATCTAAGGGAGAAGAACGATGCACCGGCAGGAGCAATGGCTGCCGGAAGAACGACTGCCGGGGCAGCTGGTGGAGCTGGGCTCGGTACACAACGGGTGAGCATGAAAAATGACGGAAATTGTGCTTTGAGCGGTTACAGCAGCAGTCGCAACCCGCCCAAAATCCCGACGAATTCGACGAAGGCCGTGAGCTGGCTTCGGAGAATGCGGAATTTCCTGGCTGTCGAGGATTTGGAGCGAACCCTTGACCACATGCCATCTACTGGTTATGTCAACGTTATCAGTTGTCTGGATCGCACATACCTGAACCAGACTCACGGTGCACATCTGGTGGCAGCTCACCAGCGGGCGTGGGGGTACATGTTGGAAGCAACCTGCGGCACGGACATTGAAGAACGGTTGGGTGCTTGCGACTGCGTCCCTGAGGCGTGGAGCGTGATCCACGAATGGCTGTTGCCTACTCTTGACGCTGAGAAGACGTTGCTTGTGAGGCGACTTGAGACGATTGAGATGCATCCCGGCGAGGACCCGAAACTCTTCTTCGCCAGAGTAGACGGAGTGATCAACATCATGAAAGCTGTCGGCATCGAAAAATCTGAGCGGGCTATCGTGCACATCATTGT